AGAGAGAGAGAGAGAGAGAGAGAGAGAGAGAGAGAGAGAGAGAGAGAAACGGAAATACAGAAATAGACTAAACAAAATATACTGGGGCTATAATTTCTAGCTTTAGTTTTACTTGTCTCAATTTTCCTCAGGAGAAATGTCCAAAAATCCAGGTGTACTGAAACGCGAGTGCTCGGAGCTAAGGGAAAAGCATGTTTGGGTATATGATGCACCCACCACCCTCATGGGAGGGACACGCAGCTGAGGGGTCACGCATTGACAGGATGGGAGCTCTTCCCCCTGGGGCCAGCCTTGGGTTCTGCTGGGCTGTCGTGATGCCCAAGGTGGAGGTCGGCTTGCATGTGAAGAAACAAAAACCCCCATGTCGCAATTGTATAAGTGGATTCTGCGTGATCACTTTCTTAAACAGAAGAGTTTACTGGCAATTTTTTTAATCCTTTGAAATAATCACATTCATAGGAAGCAATCTAGTGGCCCTCAGGCAGGCACAGTCTGAAGGTGTATTTTGTTGGCCTTTAGAAATGAATTGGCTGCTACATTTTAAGAATTTCAGCATTTTCTGGAAAGTCTCCGATCTTCTTGCAGTAAAAAATAAGAAGATTTGGCAGAATAAGGCCTGTGGTTACTGCCTTAGACTCAGGTAGGCTGAGGTCTGTCCTGCCTGTTTTGACCCTAGGCATTTGCATTGACATCTGTTGCGCCGTCAAAGGGAAGCTATCCTAATTTTGAAAGTTAGGATTCTGTACAGATTTGTTCTCTAAGGAATAAAGCATTAGTGGGAGTAAAAGTAAATTCTCATTGTGTTTCTATCAGAAGTAAGCTGTTTCCCAAGCCGTTTTTTTTTTTTTTTTTAAGATATTGGTGTACACAGTGTCTTTATTTTATTTCTATGTGGTGCTGAGGATCGAACCCAGTGCCTGATGCATGCCAGGCGAGCACTCTACCACTGAGCCACAACCCCAGCCCAAGCATAATTTTTCTTTTTCTTTTTTTTCTCCCTGAAAGTACATTGGAAGATTTTGTTCATATATTGTTCTGACCCTCAAATAAGTCCATTTGCAAGTTTACCTTGGTAGGTAAGCCAGATCTATCATAAGCATAATACTATTTTCCCCCAATTACTTGCTCAAAATTTTGTAAGTCAATGTTCTCATAAAAGAAGTCTTCTTTATTACCCTGCCTATTCTAAGTTGAGCAGATTTTGGTGACACTGCCATTGGTACCTCTATTGCTAAGCACCCCATCCTAATGCTGCTCCCAGACTTCCTGGGAGGCTCCTTGTGGGTGGTCACTGCTGGCTAGCCAGTCGCCATTTGCAAGCTTGTAGCCTACCAGTGGGAGTGTGGAATATTACATCTTAACTTTGGGAAGTCTCCTATGTGGATCCTGAGTAGAGCTTCCTCTGTGCTGCAGTGCCTCAGGCTCAGGCCCCGAGGGATTAAGTGATTTACCCCCAGTCATTCTGCTAATTAGTAATGGAGCCAAGATTAGAGTCTAAGCCTGGCAGCACCTGGTCCTGAGTGCTTCCTCACTGCCTCTCTCTGCCCCCTCATGCCACTTCTTCCTGGCATTGCAATAGGGCAGGCATCTCTTTCCAGAATAACTGTGAATTTGTAGTAAGGTTTTGTTTCATTTCAAGATAATGTTTAACCTGTCAGTGAGCATAGTTCATGATTACTTTAGTCAGGGTTTGAGTTTTAGGGGTTGTTTGTGCTCCTTTAGTAAGTTATTCCTGTACAGCTGTGTAGTTATATAACTTCAGCAAATTGGTGTTTTAGACATTCCATGAATATATTTTCATTCTAATAAGTAAGCTTGGTGGCACTGGACTTGACTAGGAAGTTTTTCATTCACAGAAAATAACTAGACATTTTCAAAATGTGTGCTTGTATGTCATAATTACTTAAACTGTTTGGGATTCATTTCCTGGCTTTTTGACAGTACTTAACGATAGGCACAAGGGGAACATTCATTTACTTTCACTAAGGAGTATGTTTTTGAAGTTCTCTCATGGGGTTCCACTTATTTAGATGTTAGATCTGATTTCCTTTATCAAGTCTTTGTTTCTCATTTCCCTTCTCAGTAATATTCTCAAAATTTTTATTTATGTTCACCATTTTTTCTTGACAATTTGTTCAGTAAAACATTTGTTTGATGTTTTTCATCTTGTATTTAAACTTTTTTGAATAAAAGCCAATGTATTTGAGAGTAATTTTTTATGTCTGACTGTTCCTTTTTCATCACATGCTCTTCTTGTTTTTATGGCTATGCCATGTTTGCTCTGAGTGTACTGTTTAGAGGTTTTGTTCTCCTTTTTTTTCTTTTTCCCCCAGTACTGGAGATTGAACCCAGGGCTTCATAAGTGTTTCATCACTGAACTACATCCTGAATAGTTATGTATTTAATTTCAAGGTACTATCATGATAAATTGCTCAGGCTGCCCTCAAATTTGCAGTCCTCCTGTTTCAACCTCATGATTAATGGGTTACGGGAGCGTGCTGCTACACCCAGCTTGATTTTCTTTGTTCTTCTAAGTTTTCCTATTTTCTGCATTATCTCTCTTTCTTCTGGGAGTAATTTTTATTTTCCTTTTGGTTATTCTGTTTTTCCTGAGTTTCTTTTTAGTATTTTAGATTTTGCATCTATGTTTTGTCATCTTTGGTTTTCTGTGTTATGAGATTAAGCAATATTAGGTCAGACAGAAGTTTTCAGTACATTGGGAGTACTTGTGAGCAGACAGGTTTCACTCTAGAAAGGCGTGGGAACAGCTTTCCTCTGGGGAATTCCTGGATGTTCCATATGGAAAGCACCTAGTCTGTGTTCGCTGTCCTTGGGTGGGGGGGGGGATTAAGTTTTTCGATTTCTGTAAATGGATCTTTGAATCTTTATGTTCCAACCTCATATCTCACTGCCCTGATCTTTATGCACCCAGGGTGGATTTAAATGGCACTGTCCAGCTGACCGTTGTTGTTTTGCCACCAAATCTATTAACCATCCTTGCTTTTTATCTTTTCTCTATGCCTCACACAATATGCAAAGTAACATACAACTCTGACCTTGTAAATGGCATGATTCCAAGTGTTCTACACATATTTAATTACTCAGTCCTCATAACAAACTTAGAAAATAGTTGTCATTCCCATTTTGCAAGTGAGGAAACTGAGGCATAGAGGTTAGCATCACACAATCAGTGAATCTGTGTATCATTTGAAATTGTCAAAACTTCAATTTTAAGAACTGCTTTTCTCTATTTTAATACTATTGGAGTTGAGAGTTGATATACATGTGCTGAGTTATAATCTTGAACAGGATGCGCATCATGTGGAAGTTGACCCTATGGTGTGTGCCTGAAGCAACAGCTGTATATCCAGTTGATGTTTCCTGGGGCCAGGGCAGCCTGAGTCTGCTCTGCTGTCAAAGTGCAGTCAGTGCCATTTGCAGTGCTTGTGTGTACTATGTGAGGTGTTTCGGAACAACCTGAACAACCTTTTGAAATTCCTCTCCTAATCCAGGGCTAGATTGCATGGACCATGGATATTTACTTGAGTTGGAGACATCTGTCCCAGGTGGTGGACAATAGAAGAATGAGGATGACTTCAAGTTTCCAGTGGCTCTTATCCACATTTATTCTTTTATATCTAATGAATGAAGTAAATAGCCAGAAAAAGGGTAAGTAAACTAGACTTTTAGAGAATGAACAAACTGCATTTTAATTTAAATTTTGGCCATGAAGCAGTCTTGTTTCTTTGTTGATCCCTTAGATTTTTAGTGGCTAAAATCCATTTTTTTTTTTTTTGGTAATTTTTTTGATGTACTTTTAGTTTATTTTTAAAAAGGCCCTGAAAGATAAATCAGAATATTCTTTTTTCATTTAAAAAATGACAATATAATTTAGATGCAATAATATTCATTCTTTTAGGACACAGTTCTTTGAGTTTTGACAGTGTGTGCAGTGATTACCTACTAGCTCCATCAAGGCAGGCACAGGCCCAGCACCCAGGAACATCCCGGGTGCCTCTGCTGTCAGCCCCTCCTGGTCCCACCCTGCCAACTCTGCTCTGTCTTCTCTCCCTAATTTTACTTTTTAAAGAATGTTATAAAATGAAATGTAAGTACATTTCATATGTTATTGGTATCCTGTTGAAGTATATTAAAAGTGTTGATGTAGCTGGGCTTGGTGGCACATGCTTATAATCCCAGTAACTTAAGGGGTTGAGGCAGGAGGATCACATGTTCAAGGCCAGCCTCAGCACCTTGGGCCTAAGCAACTTAGTGAGACCCTTCTCAAAAAAAAAAAAAAAAAAAAAAAGAATGTTTATATAGGTATTACCCAGCATGTTTCTATGAAGAACATTATTATCCTGCTGCCTCATAGCTTCATTTTTATATTATTCCCATAATTAAGCAGAGATCTTTTTCCCTAAGGTCATTGATAAAATAACTGTATTATGATGATTACTGTTTATTTCTAAAGTGAGCACTTCTAATATGTTTTTTGTTTTATATAGCTTTATAATTTATTTTATAGTGACTGTCATGCCAAGTACATATAAAAACAAGAAAAAAAATTATGAGAGAACTCTGTAGTCAGGGGTGGAATACCATTTTTTACTGTATAGTCCTCCCACACATACCCTTCCCCCTTCTTCCCTTTTCCTCTCTCTCTCTCTGTCATACCTTCTTCCTTTCTTTTCATTTTTCTATGGGGTGATCTTTATCATCGTTTAATGTTCACGTATTCCATGATGTAATGTTGTTGTATAGATATGAGTAGGTGCTTTTAGGATTATAATCTTGAGTTGTTATTTTTCAGTTGTTTAATTAAACCTGTACATAAAAGGATTTTTCAGAGGCTCATATGATTTCATTACTGTTTAAAATTAACATTCTTTGCCACCATCTGAAGATTGGTTGTGGGGTTCCTGGAGAGGATGGCCATCTGGTACCAGTGAAGTAGCCGGGTCCAGATGTTTAGGTGCTGCATCTGTGGACTTGGGAGCCACGTCGTTTTTACCAAGATTTTATTTTATTTTTTTCAGTGTGGTTTTTGGACATTCAAGGAGTACTAGAATGCCCCCAGTCCATCTCTTGGTCCCAGCATCGAATCTACACTGTATTCAGTTGCTTCCTCAATTTCTCATAATTTCCTGGAAGTAGAATTTTTGATATTGATCTAACCCCCAAATTGTCTAGAAGTTGGTCCACTTGTATTATCTTTTAGTGTTCCCATTTTTTTTTCACCAAAGCTTCAAAAGAAACCTGAAACCTGTGCCCACCCACGTCTGCACAGTTGTCCCTTACAGAGAACATGTGCCTTCTGCAAACCCATTTGCTTGAGTTTAAAATTGACAGTAACTCAATGTAGCTGAGTTACTAAGCATGTTCTGTGTTGTGTGTGCCCATGTGCATGTGTCGTTTTTCTCCTTCTCCAGGGGCACTTCGTGATTTGAAGTGTGTAACTAACAATTTGCAAGAGTGGGACTGTTCTTGGAAAGCACCCCTTGGAGCCGGCCATGGTACTGTTTATGAAGTTTGCATTGAAGACAGGTAATGGAAATACTTAGATTAATTTATAAGTACAACTTACCAGTTCTTCATCTTTCATTTTAGAACATACAAGTTTCATTCTGGGTATTTTTAAATGATATTTAAATGAAGTTTCTTAAAAATTTTGAATCTGATGTTGATAAAGATAGAAACAAACCCTTCTAGCCAAAAGTTGGATTCTTTTCTTAAATCAATAGCAATTATGGAGCATATCTGCCGTGTGATGATCTGCTATGGGAAGTCTTACTAGTCTACCCCAAACCAGTGTCTAGCTATACAGGTTTAAGTTTGTGCCTAATAGAAAATGTCAGTCATAGTGGCTCAATACACTAGCAGTTACTCTTGTGAAAAATGCATACAGTGTAGAACTGGCATAGTTGTTTGTGGCCATTGAAACTCAATCCCTCTTTGCTGTGCCACTTTGCTGTCTGGTTTATGGAACTCACGGTTCAAGGTGATGCTTTAGGAGCAACCTGTGTCTTATTCCAAGAAGCATGCAAGAATAAGGAGCACATAATTCTTGAAGAGACTTACAACAAGTCCCACAGAGTACCTCTGCCTACATCTCATTGGCCAGAACCCAGTCAGATGGCTGAGTTCTCCAGGAGGCTAGGAAGTAGCTCTCCTAGCTGAATGGCAGCATCCCAATAAACACTGGGTATGGGTTACTGAGGAAAAGGGAGAGGTGGACCATGGGAAGTGGAGGCAGGCTCTGTTATACCATATTACCCTCTTAAGTAATGTTAGAGTAGATGGGCTCTTGTGCTTGGAATGAGGCCCGTGGGGTACCCACATAATCCCAGCAGGATTCTGAGTTGTTAACAGTGCCAATGGAGTTCCAACAAGCCTTCTCTAGTCTCACTTTGCTAATGAGTAGTTCTCCTATAAATGGATGTAAATGTGTATTTAAATATAATCAAGGTTTTCCCCATTTTGTGTGTATTTGTTGAGCATTCTGCTAAGCTTTGGAGTAATTCACCAATCAAAATGAGCTAAATTATGTTGCAGATACAACTTGCAATTCTTAATTCCTCAGGAAAATACAGAGTTATTATTTTCTGCTGTGTTTTATTTCTACTGGGTATGGGCTGGGATGTCTACCCTGAGATTCTTTCTAAGAACCCCAGGTTGGTGATGGGGGAACAGAGGGGACAAGGCCTAACTTTTAAAGCTTTCTTCTAGAAATGACAGATGTGAATTTCACCAGGCTTCTCTGGCCAAATAAAGCCACATGGCCTTACTGCAGAGTCAGAGATGACAGTCCTGTGAGTCCAGGAAAGGGAAATCCTGAATAGTTCAGTAAATAGCATGCTGAGAGGTTCAGTTCTGGCTCCCTGTGAGCTCACAGTAAACAGATAGTGACTGCTGTGTGGGTTCTGTGCCAACGGAAGTTACCTGAGGATGTGAAGGTCATGGAAGGGGGACCCCCAAGGAATATCGGGGGCACTGAAAGCATTTTGAAGGCAGCACCAATGAGGAAGTCTTGTTCAAAGCAACCCAGAAGCCAGGCCTGAGGAGTGGGCAGGTGAGGTGGGCAGTTTTACTTCATTCGTTGACCTCTGTTGCGCTCAGTCTTCGAAGGTGGTACCGGCTGGTCTGGTCTCAAGGGCTGGGTGCTTAAGAGGGTAGAGCATGCAGTAGGTGAGGCCCCAGGAGGCAGGTCAGGGTGAGATTTGAAGAAGTCATCTGTGCTTATTCACTGCACTTTCTGGTGCAGCCTGGTTATTTTTCCTGATAAAATTGCTATTAATCCCTCATTTTTCAGTATTAAAATGTGGCACAATCAAGTATATTTGAACACCAAAGAACATAAGGTATTTTTCACTGTTTTTTTGAAAATGGAACTACTAATTAAATCTAATTAAAAATGTTTCTTTTATTGCAGGCCCCGTTCTTGTTATCGATTAGAGAAAACAAACATTAGAATCTCAGCTCTTTCACCTGGTGATCATGAAATAAAAATAAATTCTCTACATGATCTGCAGAGTTCTATGAGCAAATTCATATTAAATGAAAAAAATGTTTGTAAGTATTTGAAAAGAAGATTGATTTTAAAGTAGAATGGGACCTTTGTTGGTACTGTGGTGCTTTGTCATTGACAGACACTTTTTGGTTCTGCAAATTTCATTTCTTAGGCTAATACTTTGACTTGTGCAGCAACCTTGCTGAGAATTATAGAGCACAGCTAGGATCAGGAAGGAAGCATACTTACCTTCTAGTCCAACAGAGTAGACCCCAGAACTGAAGGTCCTTCCCTCAGTGCAGTACCTTTTCCTTGGCTTCCTTTGCTCTTGATTCCTATACATCCCCTGACATGTCTCAAATGCACCTTGCTCTAGACTCATCTTAGACCATCCCACTGGAGACTCCATTCCTTTCTTCGCATATCCTTGGGCAGGCTGTGCTTCTTTGTGGTGTTTTTTCTCAGTTCAGTTAATATTCCATTGTGTAATTAGGTATTTATCATGTGTCTCCTCTACAAGGAAATAGGGTCCATGAGGATAGGGACTTTGTCTTCTATACCAAGACTGCTGTCTGGAAGCAGGCATTTGTTACAAGCTTATTGATTCAGTGTCTCGGACATATGCTACCAGCAGATTGGTACTAGGATCAGGAATGCTGGATTAAAGACATCCCCGTTTGCAAAATAAATTCAGGCTGAGAGAGATGGACAGTTTGCTGTGCAACAGACTTTAAAATCCTGAGTATTCTTGTCTCTTAATGGGGGCAAGTGGGTTTGGCAGGTCCTGACAGCTGTGGTGGAACAGCAGCATCATGAGCAGCATCATGATATTCCAAGGAGTCTTTTAATGGTACTGTGATGAGTCTTGTAAGGTTGACTGACGTTGAAGTGAGAAAGAAAACAGTTTGGTGATTCGTCTAGTATTGTGGAATGGATGTATGTATGGAATGATCTATGTCAGAGAGAGCATAGGTTTTGAAAGAATAAGAACAAATATGCTGTCCAAGTACTTAGAGTCTTTCCTGTTTTCTGGTTGAAGTGTTGTCCACATAAAGTGCCACTTAAGCCATCCCTTAAGGTAAGAGAGATGAATCATGTATTATTTTCTTTCAACAGTTGGGAATATTTTCGGTAGGTCAGCCATGACCTCAATACCCAGAGAAACACTTTTAACACTTAAATACATTTTCTGTGCGTGTACATGTAACAGGTTTGTATTGATTTATAGTCTGCTTAACATAGACATTTAATAGAGTTCCGAGTTATTTCTGTAAACCCATGTTGTTGTTAATGCCTGCATAGTGTTCCATCAGATGGACGTGGCATAATTACTTAAAGAGCTCTGTTATCAACATTGATTTTTGTTTCCGGTTTATTAGTGTTATTACTAATGTTTTTTAAAAATATTATTTTTAGTGATGAACACAACATCTTTGTTTATTTTTATGTGGTGCTGAGGATTGAACCCAGTGCCTCACGCATATTAGGCGAGTGCTCTACCATGAGTTTCAGTGAACATCTTTTGTGTGTGTATGTTTGTGAATTTGTCTGATTTACTAGGATCAGGAATGCTGGATTAAAGATAGCCCCTTTTGTAAGACTCTTGATAGTCTTTGTCAGATTGTTCCAAAAACATTATACTTCTTTGCATTCCCACAAACTTAGAAGTATGCCTGTTTCCCCACATCCTTAGCAGGGCTGGGTAATATTCACCTCATTTATTTTTGCCAATCTAATCTAGTGACCCCAAATTATATCACTGTTGTTTCTTTGATTCTGTGATTAACTAAAAAAGAATTTGTCGGTTATATTGTTTTCTGAACTGTCAGTTACAACTTTTCCGTAGCATTTGTCACCATTTTCCTCACTAGTTCACAGAGCTCTCCCTGTATTATTTGTTAATTGCCGTATTTGCTGCAGATTTTTTTCTGATTTAAAAATTTTAAAAATATGATGTTTTTCATACCATAAGTTTTCCTTTTTAATATGGTAGGATTGTTTGCTATTTGGGGGTTTTGGGTTTTGCTGACATGTTTGATTTAAATCTTTCATCCATCTGAAATTATTTTGTAGTCAAGTATGAGGAACCTGTCTACTCTAGATTTTTTAAAAATCCCTAGGATTTAAAAAATTTAAATAATCCAGATTGTGGTTATTTCAGAAGTAACCAAAGTCCTCATCTTGGAAGCCTCTTGATGGTGGTAGTGGTAATTAGAAAAGGTTAAAAAAGTAAATCAAGACAGGTTATAGGTGACACAGTCGATCGGTAGTTCATTGTTTCTTACATATCATGTAATTTATTAGTGGCACTTTAATAAATAATAATAATTTAATAAATAATAATAATAATGGGCCCAATGATAGTTAGAATAATGGTATTGGGATAAGAAAATTTAAAAGCAAATTAGACAAACATAAGCTGGAGAAGTAGATGCGTGTCTTGGTCTGTTTGGCCTGATGTAACAAAATACCTTAGACCAGATAATGTGTGAACGTCAGAAATTTCTTTATAGATCCGGCTTCTGGGATGCTCAAGATCAAGGTATTTGTAGATTTGGTGTCTGGTGAGGACATGTTCCTTATAGATGGCGTGGGAAGGGGTGAACAAGCTCCCTTGGGCCTTTCTTATAAGGCAAAGGCAGAGCCCTTGTGGCTTTCACTTCCCAGAGGTCCCTCCTCATAGCACCTTTCCCCTTGGGGGTTAAGTTTCAAGAGTTTGGAGGGGAGTTCAGACAATAGCCGTGCATCAGCAAAACTTTGAGCACCTGTTGAATGTGATGACAATTTTAACTTGTTTTCTAGAAATGGTCATGTAGCTGGTCATTAGAGGATCTAGATTATTTGCTGCTAAATGAAAGCATGAGAAATTAAGTTTTCTCCAGGTGTGAAGATGGTTTCAAAAGTTTGCTTACTAAGCAAGCAAGGTTTTATGAACACTCATATACATAGAATAAATTTTGTATTTCCCAAGGGAAAGGATAAAAAAGACTTTGTAAGACTTCTGGTGTCACTTTTCTTAAAATAATCTGAAAATTTGGGTCACTCTGAGCAGGATAAATGTGGATCCTAAAAAAAAAAATCTAGGAAGACTCTTGTCTCCTGATGTTCTAAGGAAGACAGACCATGTAGGTTGTAAGTAAGCTGTTCTAGCTTTTAACAATAAATAAGACTTTCATTAAATTTCTTTCTGTATAAAAGTTCTGAGTTTCTAGAAAACAAGTAAAAATTGTCATCAAATGCCTATTTTAGCTCTACAGAAATGCAGATGACAATTCATTGGGAGCTTAGGGGAAACTTCCATGTCTGCTATGAAAAAAGGAAAGGAATAGTGGGATTTTAAATTCTTCCATTTGTAATCATGGCTGTTACCATTTAGCTTGAAATATTGAATATGACTTGTGTTTTGAAGCCTCCCTTACTCTACTAAAGTGTAAGTTATGTGGACTTTTTAGGGAGGGGAGCATTTTTAAAATAATTTTTTTAAGCTATAGACAGACAAAATATCTTTATTTATTTATTTATTTATTTATTTTTATGTGGTGCTGAGGATCAAACTCAGGACCTTACACGTGAGGCAAGTGCTCTTTTACCACTAAGCTGCAACCCCAGCCCGGAGGGAAGCATTTTAATGGATTAGCCTTGCCTCAGCTAAATAATAATCGCATGTTTCATACTATTTAAGTCACTGCATTGTGACGTCTCTAGCCTCTGGAAGAAGAGTGCGCTCCTGCAAGCCTCTTGTTCTCTGGTCATGCTGGCACCTGAACTTTCCCTCATCTGGCACTAAGTTAAACTTCTTGCTTCTCCCTGCACACTTTTCAGACACCTTCCCACTTCAAGCTTCTCCTACAAAGCACCCCCACTATTGACTTTGTTGTATAGTTTAGACTTTAAAGTCACATGTTGTAGGTCTTGTAGAGCCGTACACATTTAATACAGATCCAGTGTAGAGCACCCTGTAATGCAAAATTTAGTAAACTTATTTTTAAGTTCCAGGACTGATTAATTTATAATGATTTGTATATTTAGTATTCACCACACTGAGCTACCCTAACCATGTACTCTCCTGCAGTTTGGCACTTGCAGTGACTATTTATTGGCCCTTGAACTTCACAGGGAATGACTAAAGTGAGGTAAGAAAGGACACACCTCTGGGTTTCTTCCAGTGTACTTTCATCTTACTGTCGTTTGAGGAAGAAACGTGCAAGAGAACCTAAGACTCTCTGCTGCTCACATCTGACAGCCTGCATTTCATGGCACAGGACACACTCATATCTTGTTTTCCACTGATCCAGAAGTTTCCATAATTACCCATTCCTTAAGAGTAGGAAAATGTGAAGATTTTCCAGATGCATTACTCTTTCTACTATCTCTTTTCAGCACATGATGCACACCCCAGGTCTTGAGCACACTGTCTCTTTACCTTCTGCAATTGAGCAGAGAGCTTGTGGCTCTTTGCTCTGGTCCTCCAGTGTGAACTTTTATTTGGCCTACCTGTGTCTTTTTGGCTCAGTGATCCTAGATTTTCTCTGGTTTCCTTTGCTTCTAGATCATCTCCTATGTGTCCTTGTGGGTGTGTCTGGTTCCTTGAAGGTATAATTGTCTATCAGCAGCCCCTATGTTGAGCTCTGGTTGTTACATGTCTGTGTGTTTGTGTTTCTGAGTCTACTCTTCTAGCCCCAGCGTTTGCAGAGTTCTCTGCCCATGCCTCTTCTTCCTGGACACTTTGTCAGCCATAGCTGGTCTTCTGTGTTTCTTCACAATAGTTCCTGATTCCTTTTGTCTTTCTTGGAACCTTGAGTGAAATCTTGATTATTTCTTTTTCTTATTAGAGCAAATCTTCATTTCTATGATCCAAGCATTTCTTTGAAATGCCCAACAGATTTTTTCCTTTTGTTTCCATATTTGTCACTGTAACCAATAGGTCTGTTACTCTAGCCAGATTTCTCCAATGGCCTCCTCATGGACTACCATATCACTCTTGTCTCAGGCCCTGGCAGAATGTGGCATATAATTGCTAAAGCACCAACCTTTCTTTTATTTGGCCAACCCACGCCCTGCGCTTCTGCACTGTAACCCATTGCCTGCTTATCTCAGTGCTTTGGTCATTGTGCCAGTCTTCCTGCTATTGAGTGATATCCATGTCTGGGAATGGCTCATCAAATTCTGTGAGCATCCCCTACACGGTGGACTCTGACCCTGGAAGATGAGTGAGAAGACAGCGAGAAAACATGCAGAGAGCTTTCTCAAAGTGAGCTCCCTATATTTTGTCTCTTCTTAGGCCTTATCTACTGCCACACAAAGGAAGGACTTTTTTTTTAAATATATACTTTTTTATTTATTCCTTTTAGATATACATGTTAGTAGAGAGTATTTTGACATATTATACATACACAGAGTATAACTTATTCTAATTAGGATCCCATTCTTGTGGTTGTACATGATGTGGAGTTACACTGGTCATATTTTCATATAAAAACACAGGAAAGTTATGTCTGATTCATCTACTGTCTTTCCTATTCCCATATCTTCTCCCTTTCCTTCATTCCCCTTAGTCTAATCTAATGAACTCTTCTCTCCCTCTCCACCTTACATGTGTTACTATCCACATGTCAGAGAATATTCAGCCTTTGGTTTTGGGGGATTGGCATATTTCACTTAGCATGGTAGTCTCCAGTTCCATCCCTGATAAATGCCATCCTTTCTTTCTTCTTTAAGGCTGAGAAATATTCCATTGTGTATATACACCACATTTCTTGATCTATTTATCTGTTTTTTTTTTTTTAAATGGTGCTGGGCCTGGAACCCAGAGTCTCCCTCATGAAAGGCAGGCACTCTACCACTGACCTCCACAAATTTTTAATTCTTGATTACTTTTTATCTAGGAGGAATATAATTAAAAATTGTTGATTAATAGAAGTATAATATTAAAAATCATTGGTTATTTATTCAGTTTTCTCTTCTGTTTCCCTTTTTTTAAAGCCTTAGTTCCAGACACTCCCGAGATCTTGAGTTTGTCTGCTGATTTTTCAACATCTACGTTACACCTCATGTGGAATGACAAGGGCTCTGTTTTTCCACATCACTCGAATGTCATCTGGGAAATTAAAATTCTACGTAAAGAGAGTATGGAGCTTGTAAAATTAGTAAGTTTAAACAAAAATAGTTTTTTTCTTATGATGTTAAGGAAACGGAATGATTTTTTAAAGCATTTTTAAGGTGGTATCAATTTATTGGTGGTACCATTGGTTTTTTTTACATTATTAAGGAAATAGAGCAGATTTATTTCAGCATTTGTTAAAAACCATATTCTATGATTCAGAAATCACTTGTATTACCAGTATAAAAAGTTCAGGAAATTAAGGGAAGAATACTTCCTTGATCAAGTGTGATGCTTCCACTTGAACACAATAAACAGTATCTTCATCTGCTCCTTCCTGTCTAGCTGCTTTAATATACTATCTTTTCATAAACAAAAGGATAGTATGCTTGTAATTCAGTCTATTTTTTTATCTTTATGGAATAAAGATGAATGTTTTGAACATATCTGGCCATATAATAATTGTTGAAAAATAAATCAACCTGAATTTACCAAAACCTGAAATTATATATTTAGAACATGCTTTTTTCTATTTTTAATCCTGTTTATGAATTTTTTTTTAATGATCTACAATTAATTGGCTCTTAACCTAAGAGGCAATTAAGAATAGTTATGAAAAGTGTGACAGGTGCTATGTGGATACTTGAATAAGAAGGATGCTCTTTGAAGTGTGAGTGAAATCAAACATAGATGAAGGAACTCTTCTGTTCTAAATCGGTGCAACTCATTACCACAAGACACACAACAAGTTGGCCATAATAAGGAAGCAAAATTTCCCTAATTTAGGGAGAAATGTTTGCATGAGAAAATAATAGCAAAGGCCAGAATATGAGGACAGAACAAATTAATTTAAAATAGTGAAGTAAAAGAGGAAAAATGCCCAGGTAGGTCCATAGTAGATATGTGACATTTTTATTTATAATAATGTGTTACTGATATCATTATTTAAGTCAGAATTGCTACCACAAAAAAATAGCATCATAATGTGCTCCAAAATGAATGCTGTCATTTAAAAAATATTTTTAATTACAAATGGACACAATACCTGTATTTTATTTATTATTATTATTTATTTATGTGGTGCTGAGGATTGAACACAGCACCTCACACATGCTAGGCAAGCACTCTCTACCACTTAGCCACAACCACACCCCAAATGTTGTCATTTTGTAATAGTTTAAAAATCAAGAATCCTGGGCATTAGTGTTTCATTGAAGGCACTTAACTACCTGTCGCCTCTGTGCACAGCTGGGAAGCCTGCCACAGAGGACCAGGGCAGGCTGGAGGGATGCCTGGCGGCCAGCCACCCCTCCCACACACTCCCCTTGGCTTTTCCTGGAGAGAAACTATTTCTACTTTTTATTTAATTGATTTTATTTTTTTAAATACACGACAGTGTAATGCATTACAATTCTTTTTACACACATAGAGCACAATTTTTCGTATCTTTGTATATAAAGTATGTTCACGCCAGTTCATGTATTTATACGTGTACTTTTTAAAATTTCTACTTTTTTAACTGATTCGTTGATTATTTTTCTCCGGGTAACATGATATTTATTTTTTATTTATTTGTTGTTTTTGTTTTAGTATTGAGCAATGTTTTATTAACTGCCACAAGGAAGATGAGAATTCAGTCCTCTCACCTTCCACCTCAGTTACATTCTCACATTCTGTCTCTTCTCTGCCTCTCTCTTTTTATCCCCTTCCCCTCAGTTTGCCAACTTCTTCCAATATGGTTCTGTTGTAATTTTTGTTAGAATAATATTTATTTTGTTATGGTTATACAAACACAATTTGCAGTCTCTTTTTTTTTTAAATAGAACTTGCCTTTTTTTTTTTTTTTAGTTGTGTTTCTTAGATTAATTAATTCAATCCTCAATTCTCTCCAGGTGGTGTAAATCTTGAAACTTTTAAATATGCCAGGGATTTTGTCAGTTTATGTTTGTGCATAAATCTGTCTGAGCATCTCTAACTGGATTTCCAGTGTTTTTCACCTAAGGGCTCATGTAGACACTGTTGATGTATAGCACAGAGTATAACTGAGGCTGGTGGCCAGACGTGTCACAGGGCTCCAGCAGCCTCAGCTCCTATAGGCAACCCTAGGTTTGAAGTGATACCCGTAATGCAGTGAAGTCAGAACATGGCATCTCTCAGCTCATTCGTTAGAAAGCTATGAGGCAAGGGTCTCCAACATCATCTGGATTGTTCTTTATACCGTTTTCTTGTTATGGATCCTCTTTTTCCTTCATTTCCTGTCTGTCTCTTATTTCTGCATATTGGTAAAAGCATATATTTTAGTATCTATTTGCTGTTGTAGATACTTCCTGTTGTCTGTAATAACTAGCTTGCAGATATAATTTATCTTTCAAAAAACTTAAAAAGTCTGTCCATTACTATTACTGAGAAGATGCAGGACAATTAGAACTTTCAAATATTACTATCAAGAGTTTAAAATGATACAAGATAGAAACATTGGTATTTCTGAAATGTGTTTAGTCTGCATTCATGTGTGATTGTTAGCTTTTCTAGGTATAGAATTATAGGTTGAATAATTTTGTCAAGATTTTGGAGGCATTGTTCCCTTGTTTCTTCTTAAGGATGCGTCTTCATTAATTATGCTCTACACTCCTTGGGCCCCTTTTAGTCTAATTTGTCAACTTGGGAGCTTTTCTTGTTTTATTGCTTTGATTTCTTTTTCTTTGGTTTCTCCTTTTTTTTTTTTTTTCTTGGAACTTACATTTTTAGAAATTGGACCTTCCAGGCTGATTTAATTGTCTTACTTTCCTGTTTTCCATCTGTTTTTTGCTTCATTTTCTGAAAAAACTTTTCCTAAACTTTTTCTTGCAACACTGCTATTAAATTTCTAATAATACATTTTTAATTTGTAAGAGATGGCTTTTGTCAAAGAATCTGATCTCCCTGCCCGCAGTGAATTCTGTTTTTATTTCATGGGTAGAGTATCTTTTCTTATCTCTGAGGATGTAAGTGATTTGATTTTTTCTTTGCCCATACTGTTTGTTCAGGTTACTATTTCTCTTTGTTTTGATTTTTAACTTTCATATTAGAATTGTTTGTATTTTGATAGGCACCCTGGTTGCTGCTCATATTTATGTGAAGACTCAAAAAAAACCACACCATTTTTGGGGGGAAGAGTCCTGGGGATTGAACCCAGAGGCACTTAACCACTGAGCCACATATCCAGCTCTTTTTATTTTTTTTGAGAAGGCATCTTGGTAAGTTGCTTAGGGCCTCACAAAGTTGCTGAGGCTGGGCTTGAACTTGCAGTCTTCCTACATCAGCCTCCCAAATCACTAGGATTAATTAAGGTGTGTGCTGCCACAACTGCTCAAAAAATTTTTTGTTTGGAACTTTGCTTTGCTTAGAGCGGACTCACTGACATATTGGGTAATAGGGTGAGCTAGCTTGATGGCAAACTCCTACTATTATTTTAGCTATTTTATCTTAATCTGTTCATATACCCACACAGATTTGTTTAGACTTCTGCCTGGTGAGTCTTCATCTGGCTGTCAGTATCCTGGGAACTGAATAGGGACAATGGGGCAGGCACAGTTTAGCAGTCCCATTTTTGGTATGGCATTCCCCAATCTCAAGTCTTCCAAGATCCCTCAGTCAAGAAGTATTCTGTTCTACTTTTCCAGAACATAAATCTCTCTTCTGCTGCCAGAGTGAACAAAGGTAGTCCTCCTTGAGACTTAATATTTAGCTCTCTTAGGTCTTCTAAGTCAGTTGCCATCATCTATCTGCTTTCCAGCTTCCAAAATTTTAGGGTGTTACTACGTTTTCTTTTCTTGTGTGTGTGTGTCTGTGTATGGGTGTGTCATTGTACATCTATAACTTTTAAAAAAAAATCTGTTTTCTCTTATTTTAGAAATATTTCAAGAGGTAAAACAAAGGAAAATCTACTTTTAACTGGAATTCCTAATATTCTTCCAGTAGATCTTTAGTTAAATGAATAATGATTATTCACTAACAATAACAGTAACAATAATGGTTATTGTTACTCATATTTTCCTTTTGTGCCTTACAGAAAACTGAGAGTTTTACAAAAAGACCACTTACTTTCTTATTAGATGGTTATTATATACAATCAATGGTGTTGTTCTGATCCTAAGGAAAGCAGAACATATCAGTCCTTGGCAGTACAGTTTTGCTTGTATTTCTGTCCAGGTAACATACAACACAACTCTAAGTGGTAAAGATGTCATTCGTCACTGGAGCTGGACCTCGGACATGCCTTTGGAGTGTGCTACTCATCATGTGGGAATTAGATGCTACATTGACTATCCTCTTTTCTCTGGTCGCAAAGAATGGAGTGACTGGAGCCCAGTGAAGAACATCTCTTGTAAGCTCATATTTGAAAATTTGTTTCAAATGCATTAGATTTCTCAAGGGTAAGGTTTAGTTTACGAATTCAGTTCTTTGAACCCCAGTGGCTTCAGGAGGTTCATTTGGGGAGCTTCCAATCCTGACATCCCAGGAGATCTAGATTGGAAAAGTCTGAGATAGATTCCATGAATCTACTTTAAAATTATTAGGAAATTCTTTTAAAGTGATCAGATAAATATTAATATTTGAAAGTCACCAACATAGGCATTGAAGAATAAAAATTGTATGTTGGTGGAAATGAGATCAAAGTCTATATTTTTAAGAAATGGTTCCCAATCTTTGGTCCACAGAACAGATCCATGCAGGCTGCTAGTTATTGTAGGGAACAAGGGAAACTGCAAGCATACCAAAAATCATCTGTACATCAAATTCTTGCATAGGTTGAATGTCATTAAGATAGAACAGGGCCAGAAATTTTATTAACAGTAAAATAAAGTCCTGAAGAGAGGTGGTAATCATTGTGGGTAGACCATTCTAGTGACAATATGGAGAAATGAATCAGAGCCAGGAAAGTAAGTAAATAAGGAGAAATTGGGGCAGTTGAACAAAAGACAATGAAAATGTAATCTGGGACACTGGGGTTTAGAAAAGAAAAGGGGGAAAGGTGTGAAAACACTGAAGAGGCAAAATTAGTTTTGGGCAGCTGAGTGGCTCACGGTACCATTCACTGACACAGAAAATGTATAAACAAATTAGTTGGGAAAGAAAAATTTGTTTTTAATATGTTGAGCTTGAGGCACTGAAGCATCTGGGTATCAGGGCCTCACAGGCAATTGGAAAGATAAGTTCGACATCCAGATGGGTTGGTGCAGCTGGGGAGGCCTGTTGGGGAATCATCAACACATATGTGATGTGAAATTAAGATGATTTAGGGAAAGATAATGGGGACCAGGGACACATCCTTTAGAGTTCCTGTGTCTGGGACAGAGGAAGGCCAGGAGCCAGAGGATTAAGAAAAGCACAGTAGCCCAGAAAAGTACAGTGTTAAAAGGAGCCTAAGAAGAGGGAATTTGAGAAGGAAAACTTTAGACAGCGTACCAGATACCCTGGAAGTTGAAGGAAAAAGATGACTCAGACCATTGGATTGAACAGTGAGGCCACTGAGCCATCTATTAGAACTGTGGGGTAGAAGCCAGACTCTAGTAGAGTGAGAAAGGAGAATAGACTGGCTACTTGAGGGAGTGGTATGGCTTTAACCTACAGAGCTGGAATTAAAGAAAAAATAATTTTAGGATGTGGAATACTTGATCATGTTCAGGCTGATGGAAAGTAAGAAATCTGCCCTAAATACAGAGAGTAATTTCAAAGGAATGGAGTTAGTGATTTGGGAGGGGGGTGTGCATTTATTGTGTATGTATATAAACCCAATGAATCTGAACTTTTAATTTAATTAAACATTAACCTGTGACTTAGACATTGGCCTTGGTCCACTTCCGTCTTCAACCACTGGACCTTTCATAAGTGAAGAAAACCACAGTTTTATTCTATCCTTGTATATGTCTTGCTCCTTTCAAACCTGCATGATAGAATTTATATTTTGGCCAGCATTATTCCAGAACACCTAACAAATATGTTCTGCACATAGTGGGCTATTTAAAAAATCATCTTGGGAAAAATTTTAATATAGAGACTATATATAAAAAGTGTATCTAAAATATTGAATTCCTTTTGTTTTTTCTAGGGATTCCTGATTCTCAGACCAAGGTTTTCCCCCAAGACAAAGTGATACTTGTAGGCTCAGACATAACATTTTGTTGTGTCAGTCAAGAGAAAGTCTTATTAGCACAGATTGGTCATAAAAACTGTCCCCTTATCCGTCTCGATGGAGGAAATGTTGCAATTGAGATCCATAATATTTCTGCTTCTGCAAATAGTGGAACAAATGTGGTTTTCACGACAGAAGACAACATGTTTGGAACAGTTGTTTTTGCAGGATGTAAGTATATAGTATTAAAGAGAGACTTTCCATTAACTTGTTTTGGTCCTCTGGGAGGCCTTAATTCCTTTTGTACAAGATGATTCTGTTTTGCTCTTACTTCTTTGTTCTTTAATATTAACAATTTACAAAATCCCTAGAATTCTTGCCTGTTTTAAAGCATTTTCTAAGTTTGTTTCCTATAGAACTATTTATATTTAACATGTAGATTTTGCAATAAGATGTGAAATAACTAACTGCTAATGTTTAACTTCTTAGCAGCTTTGTTGATTCAGGGGTCCTCAGTATATAGTAGTTCTTAATCCTACATTGCTTAGGAATTATGTAAGTTAATTTTCCACCAATTCAAGTCTAACCCTTTTAAGTACATAAATTTTAAAACTAGGATTTGACACAAAATCTTATAATAACAGAACATGTCTTCTCTTTTTATTTTTATTTATTTGGTATTTTTGCAAGCTGGGGATTAAATCCAATCCCTATTCATTGTTAGGAAAACACTTTACCACTGAGCTACATTCTCAATGCTTCTCTAATTTTTAAATAACATGTTTGAGGAGAACAGAGTGGCCATCGGATAGGATCGCCATGTTGTGTCCTGTCATTCAGAGGCACTGTTAGTGACATGCTTGCTCCTACAATCTAAAATTCTATATTTCTAGAAGTTGTGGTGGTGGACTATCCTACCTAAGTGGCTTGGGTTGTGTGTTCGTAATTCTTAGTTTTGACTTTAGGGATTTTTCTGCTTCCTCCCTGTGGCTTCACCTCCAGAAGCAATTCCTTTTTTTCCTGCATTTGGAATAATCAATCCTTGAGTTTCATGTAAGGTCTCATGAATAAAGTTGTGAAATGGATTGAGCAGATTTTATGATGATTCTTTAGACTGCTTAGTGATATTTCTTTTACTCTTTTATGAATTTTGTGACAAATCACATTCGGATGCTGATGTAGAGTCCCAAGGGAACAGCAAGATTAGGTGCATTTTTCAATTCGTGGTGAGCCTTACTCTCTTTTTATCTTCCCAGTAGTACATTTTGAAATTCCAGGGAAACTGAGGTTCTATCCAGATATAATTTTTATAAAATTATACTTTCTTTTCCAAGGGAACTTTAGGAATTACTTGCAACATTTATCATGAATGATCTTGGTGTCTAGGATGAGAACCTTTGATAAGTGCAGTGAAATTGCTTGATAAGAGATAACAAAAAGTGAGCTGTACACTTAAAAGTATGAATGAAAGGTTGAAACTTTAAAAAGATGAGAATATGTACTCTTTCCACTTTCCACTGGTGTTATTTCAGACAGCGTTTTAATCTTTTACCTTAATAAGCCCTTTTAGTTCATAATTTAACCTTCATTTATAACATCTGATGGTTGAAATATTGTTTGGTATTTTCCAGCTCAGAGCCAGTTGTAGCATTTCCCTCTGGGGTTGCCCTGCAAAACCTACCAGAGCAGGTTTTGTTGTAAATTAGGGATCAAGATTTAGTTATTTTCTTTCCCCTATGGATTGCCTTTTAACCCAAATTTATTAAAAAGAATTTTATAATCATCTTGTTAAAGTCCCCATGAACACACATAGACAATCAAAAACTGCTAGAATTTTTATTGGCATTACATTGAATATATAGATTAATTCAGGAGAATTTTAATTTTTACAACATTGAGTTTTCTAAATCATGAACATGGTATCTCTATATTTGTTGATTTATCTTAGTGATATTAAATCTTATATCTTTTGCTAAATTTATTTCTATATGCTTGATGTATTCTGCTGTTACTAGAAGTAGCTTTGTTTTTAAGTTTTCATTTTATGTTTGCTGGTATATAAAAATACTTTTACCTAACTGCATTTGATTCTTTTATAAATTTACTCCTTCTGTCTTTCCTTCTGTTTCCTTAATCCATCATTTCTCATGTTACAGCAGGATGAAGATTCCTGTATTGTTCAGTTGTAAAATGAAAATAGTAAATTATTTATTTTTTAAGGAAATAGTGCGCACAATGTCATTAACATATTATAGAACATTACATTTTCAGCAAAAAATATATGTAATTGTATGTAATACTTTTTTTCCTCTTTCTGTTAGATCCACCTGATAGTCCCCAAAATCTGAACTGTGAGACACATGATTTAAAAGAAATTATATGTAGCTGGAATCCAGGAAGACCGACAGCGTTGGTGGGCCCTCGAAATACCAGTTACACTTTATTTGAAAGGTAATGGTAGGATGTCATCTGGTGGATGTGACATAGGGAAGTGTTCTGTTTTATTCCTATTGTGAGCAAGATATGAAACTGAATATGCCATATAAAATTGTATGTACTGTAAAAACTGTAGCATAACCACATATAGGTTCAATGTCATGTCTCTTAAAGTCTAGATGGAAGGACCCCCAGATGTGATCAGTTTTTTCCTGGGTTATTTGGCCAATTTTTTCCTATAGTATACACAGCTTCTCTGAGTGTATAATATATCCTTAATTAGAAAAATAAACTTTATGTAAAGAATAATTATTAGAAACTTGCTTATTCATTTTTTTCCTGCAATATTTATCTCTTTTAATTTATAGTTTTTCAGGAAAATATGTTAAATTTAAAAGAGTTGAAGCACTTACAAATGAAAACTATCAGTTACTCTTCCAAATGCTTCCAAATCAAGAAATATATAATTTTACTCTGAATGCTCGCAATCCTCTGGGGCGATCGGCATCTTCAATATTAGTTAACATAACTGAAAGAGGTAAGCTATGGCATCAACCAGTGTCTTAAAAATAATTAAGAAGTAGTTAAGTGCCTTGGTGTTAACAAAAATACTTCTAGGGATTACCAATTATTTAGAGTTCCTCAATTTTACAATTTTATTTTAAGAGCTTTAAAATTAATAATTTCTCATTTTACACATTATTGACTTTAAATATAAATTTGAATTAGTCATTTTAAATAGAACCTAGTTTTGTCTAAGAGTTCTTGATTTCTGAAAAGTTGTTTGCCCAATTTTTAAAAACTTTTATTTTAAAATAATTTTTGACTCACAGGTTGTTGCAAAATTAATGAGTTAGAACCTTTTGAAACTTTCCCCTGACTTTCCCTAGTGGTGGCATATTACATAACCAGTACAATATCAAAATCAGGAATTCAACACTGGTATAGTACTCTTACGTAGACCACTGAACTAGACTACTCACCTGTGCAGTTTTTATGTTATTTATTTATCTGTGTGTGGGGGTGGGGGAATCTGTGGCAGTTTATCCCTGTAAAGCTTCAGGTAACCACCATCCCAGTGAAGATTCAGAACTGCTCTGACACTACAAAGACCTTTCATGTACACACACAAACACTTAGCATCCCTGTCCTTTACAACAGCTGACTGTTCTTTATCTCAGTTTTGTCATTTTGAGAGTGTTATAAAAGTGAAATAATACAGAGTGTAACCTTTTGAAGTTGGCTTTTTTTACTAAGGATTAGAGTTAAATCCTGGAGATTCATCCACATAGTTTTGTTATCAATAGTGATGGTTTCTGAATTTTTACCATCCTATGAATATATAGCTTAAAATAGACATAAATTATTGATGTTGGCATTCATTCCTGAGGTCACTCCACGTGCATTAGCTCCATGCCAGGTATATAATCTGCTGAGCAGGGCACAGAGACCTTCTTTTAGGGACTCACAGTCAGGGGAGAAAGGGCTTCAATCAAGTGCATTATCAGATAGCCTGGCTAGTGATGGGGACGATCCTGTTGCCTTATTTGTGAATATGAGTCAGATTTATTCACTATTTCTTCCTGTCACTTTTATTTCCTGATTCCTTCTACGATTGAAAGGCTACATTTTGGAGTTGAATGGTAGTGTTTGTATTTGTTTGCCTTTTGCCATTGCAACCTTATATCCCACATAATTCTTTCCCACCACTCATGTTGGCCTATATGTGATGATCACCATGATGTGTGAGGTTCTCACTGTGCCTTCATTTCTGCAAAAACCCCATCCTGAAAGGTTTTCTACATCTCTTCTGTGGGTTTTACTCAAACGCTCCATGTGAAGCTCACCTTACATCCTACCTTCTTTGTAAGACTTCTCCTTCTGTTGTACATTTAAATCCCTGTGGCTCCTGACTTTTGTACCATGCATCTAGGGCCTACCATTTTTGCTCTTGTCAGTTTTTTTGTTTGTTTGTTTATCATCCTCCCATGATGTACATTAGAAATTCCTTAAAGGTAGAAACTGACCTTACCAACTTTTAGTATCCTCAACACCAGCTGAAGAACCTTGAGTGTGCTTGGTGATTAAAAAATGTTGATAATAATGTCAGCAGCAGAAGTGAAATTTATGCAGAAAAAGTGAAAATTATGCAGAAGTGAAATTTATTATAATTTCAAGCAATGAAATTGAAGATGCTGTCAAAAGCCTACCAAAAAAGAGAAGCTCACAGGACCAAATGGATTCTCAGCCAAGTGCTACCAGACCTTCAAAGAAGAATGAACACCAATCCTTTTCAAATTATTACAAGAAATAGAAAAGGAGGGAAACCTTCTAAACTCATTCTATGAAGTTAGTATCACCCTGACACCCAAACCAAAGACATAGCAAGGAAAGAAAACTTCAGACCAATATCCCTAATAAACATAGATGCAAAAATTCTTAAGAAAATTCTGACAAACCACATACAAAAACATACTAAAAAGATAGTGTACCATGACCAAGTGGGTTTCATTCCAGGGGTGCAAAATTGGTTCAGCATACGGAAGTCAATAAATGTAATTCCTCACATCAATAGATTTAAAGACAAGAATCATATGATTATCTCAATGGATGCAGAAAAAGCATCTGACAAAATACAACACTCCTTTATGTTCAAAACATCAAAAAACAAAACAAAACAACAGCAAACAAACAGGGATAGTAGGCATATACCTCAACATTCTAAAAACTATATATGCTAAACCAAAGACCTCTAAAAACTGGAACAAGATAGGGATGCCCTCTTTCACCACTTCCATTCAACATAGTCCTTGAAATCCTTACCAGAACAATTAGGAGGGAAAAACAGGATTCAAATAGGAAAAGAAGAACTCAAACTATCCCTATTTGCTGGTGACATTCATCTATATATAGAAGACCTAAAAAAAACTACCAGAAATGTTCTAGAACTCATAAATGAATTTATCAATGTAGCAGGATACAAAATCAACACCCCATAAAACAGTAGCATTCCTATACACCAATCATGAATGCACTGAAAGAAAAATTAGTAAAACTATTCCATTCACAACAGCCTTAAAAAAAAATACTTGGGAATCAATCTAACAAAAGAGGTGAAAGACCTCTACAATGAAAACTACAGAACACTAAAGAAAGAAATTGAAGAAGACCTTAGAAGATGAAACCATCTCCCATGTTCTTGGTTAGGCAGAATTTATATAATCAAAATGGGTATACTACCAAAAGTGTTATACAGATTTAATAACAACTCCTATAAAAATTCTAATAACATTCTTCATAGAAATAGAAAAAGCAGTCATGAAATTCATTTGGAAAAACAAAAGAGTTCTAGAATAGCCAAAGCAGTCCTTAGTGAGAAAAGGGAATTAGGAGGTATCACAATACCTGACCTTAAATTATATTACAGAACTACAGTAACAATGTAGCATGGTATTGGCACAAAAACAGACATGTAGACCAGAGATTCAGAATAGAAGACACAGAGACAAACCCACATAAATACAGTTATCCTAAACAAAAGATAAACAAGCAGGAGAAAAGTATTATCAACAAATGGTGCTGGGAAAACTGGAACTCATATGTAGCAGAATGAAATTGAACCCCTATCTCTCACCCTGTACAAAACTCAACTCAAGGTGAATCAAGGACCTAGGCATTAGACCAGAGTCCTGTGCCTAATAGAAGAAAAATGTAGGTCCAGCTCTCCATCATATCAGCTTAGAAACTGACTTCCTCAACAAGACTGCTAAAGCACAAGAAGGAAAATCAAGGATCAATAAATGGGATGGTATCAAACTCAAAAGCTTCTTCATAGCAAAGCAAACAATCAAGAAATTGAAGAGAGCCTTCAAAATGGGAGGAGATCTTTACCATCTGTAATCATACAGAGCATTGATCTCCAGGATATACAAAGAACTCACAAAAACTGAACACTAAAACAAACAAACAAACATAAAAACCAAATGACCCGGTCAATGAATGGGCAAAAGAACTGAACAGACACTTCACAGAAAAAGAAATACAAATGGTCAAAAAATATATGAAAAAATGTTCCACGTCTGTAACAATTAGATAAACGCAAATTTAAACTATACCAAGATTCCATCTCACTCCAGTCAGAATGGCAATTACCAAAAACACAAGTAACAATAAATGTTGGTGAGGATGTGGGGAACAAAGTTTCACTCGTACATTGTTGGTGGAAATACAAATTGGTGCAACCACTCTGGAAAGCAGTATGGAGATTCCTCAGGAAACTTTGAATGGAACCACTCTTTGACCCAGTTAGCACACTTCTTGGTTTATACCCAAAGGTTTTAAAATCAGCATACTATAGTGAAACTGCCACATCAGTGTTTATAGCAGCTCAATTCACAATAGCCTAGGTGCTCTTCAACAGATGAATAGATAAAGAAAATGTGGTGTATATACACAGTGGAATATTTCTCAGCCTTAAAGAAGAATGAAATGATGGCATTTGTCAGTAAATGGATGGAACTAGAGACTACCATGCTAAGTGAAATATGCCAATCCCCCAAAACCAAAGGCCGAATGTTTTCTGATATGTGGATACTGACACATGTAAGGTGGGAAGGGAAAGAAAAATAGAAGTTCATTAGATTAGACTGAGGGGAATGAGGGAAGGGAAAAGAACAGGAGAGACAGTAGAATGAATCGGACATAACTTTCCAGTGTACATGTATGAATATATGACCAGTGAAACTCCTCATCATGTACAACTGCAAGAATGGGATCCTGATTAGAATAAGTTATACTCTGTGTATGTGTAATATGTCAGAATATGCTTTACTGTCATGTATGTATAAAAAGAACAAATTTTTAAAAATAAGGAAAATAGTATGCACAATCAGGCTGATATAAACACTACCATTTCTCCTTTCCAAATGTGTGCATTCTAGAAATGGTAAAATAAGTTACTAGACCTCAGGAATTTATTTTGTTGTAAATTGTATGGAACATATTATTTGGATTTGATCTTGCATGATTGTTTTTACTTTTATTCTATTTTCTTTTAAACTTACCCCCGTCCCCATACTGGGCTTTGATCTCTTAAACTTTTTAGATGATATGTGGGCTAACTCAAGTAAGACTTCTTTTGAGAAAAAAGAAAAAACAAAAAATCCACTTTTTAAAAGCTAACTTTTTTTTTTTTCTTCTTCAAAAAAGAAAGAAAGAAAGTTTGTGGATCCCACAGAATGCCGCGTAGAATATTGTTCTTCAGCACTAATGATACCTCCTGGATTTTTGTTTTCTTTGGTTCTTGTTTGCATATTTGGAGATAGTGGTACTTCTTTAAACAAATGTTTAAGGGAGTATTAAAATTTCTATTTACAGTTTCTCCCCATACTCCTACTTCATTCAAAGTGAAGGATATTAATTCAACAGCTGTTACACTATTTTGGCATTTACCAGGCAACTTTGCAAAGATTAATCTGTTATGTGAAATTGAAATTAATAAAGCTAATTCAGCACAAGACTTGGTAAGTAAGATTTGTCTCCAAACATCCCTTTTGGTTATTCTGGGTAAAACACTTAGTATTTAAAGAAAAGTAAGTAAATTGATATGTGCAAGCACTCAGATTACAGTTATTTTCTAAGAACCAAGAAAGACATTACATATCAGTATAATATTAATACTCTATTTAGTTTACAAAAGCAATTATAATGCTGGGTATTATAGAATGGCAAGTTTAGCTTTACTACTCAGAATGCTCCCTAGTGTATAGCACCTGCCATGTAGCTGGTGCTCAACGAGTTTGTGAGTGAATCAATAGTTTTTGTTGTAGACTTTACTGTCGGTTAATAAACTAATTGGCACCAAAGAATAAAAGTGATTTTTTTAAATTGAAAAGTACAACAATGGGACCAAATCATAATTGGTAATTATAAGTTAAAACATGACTTTTCAGTACATGTTAAGTATTTAGGTTGACTTTTCTATCTTGTAATTTGGGTTAAATTTAAAATGACTAATGTTATACTTAAATATTCACTGGTTTCTAGAAATTCTGTCAAAATGACAAAATGTATTCTGAAAATCTTCCTTGTAATAAGTGCAGAGGCTTTCTTGAGGCATGCAGATTCCAAAATTTGTTTAGAACTACTTCATTTAAATTTTACTGGTTTAGTTTAAGTAAGTTGTTGCAGGACTATTTATAGGATGGCTAGTGCCATAATAGAGGTTCTGAGTGACCCAGAAACAGAGATGCATAAAAGTCAATGTCTGCTTCCAGGAAGCTTTCAAATACCTTCTGAATGATACTATTTAATCCTCAAGATCATCTCAGACTAGTGATTGCATGGTCACTAGTCATTGACTCATTATCACAACTTGCATCTGCTACACAACTTAATTAACCATTGTAACTTAGATCCAGTATTCACATTTAAAAGACACCACAATATTTTATTGCTACAATGTAGCATAATTTCATTGACTTGACATTTCATAAGAATTAAAGTGCTGTAGTAGATTAACTCTATTTGGTATTATAATTGCAAACTGTTATGGCCTTTTTGAGTCAATATAGGTTATAAATGTAGGAGGTTTCTTACAAAAAAATCTGTGTATATGAGTACATAGATGCATTCATACACACATGGCATATACATGTACCTGTTTATTTATTTTCAAAAAGCGGAATGTCACAATCAAAGGAGTAGAAAATTCAAGTTATCTGGTTGCCGTGGACAAATTAAACCCATACACTATATATACCTTTCGGATTCGTTGTTCTGCTGAAACTTTCTGGAAATGGAGCAAATGGAGCAATGAGAAAAAACATTTGACCACAGAAGCCAGTAAGTTAATGAAGAGGCTTGTGACTGCTTATGATTTGGGGGAGATGGGAAGATGTGAGAGAGGCACCCAGGGACCACTCACAGACAACCATAAGGGTGATTTGAATCTCTGAGGCCTTGTGTTTTATAGAAGTTGAGATTTTAGGTCTTCTGTTTCTTTTTCTAAGTAGATGCTACTGAACTGCCTTACATTATATTGAAATTTCCAAATATCCTACAAAGAAATGCAAGCACCACCACCTCAATTATATTATCCACTGATGTACACAAGGCCTCTTCAAATACTAAATTTTAAATCTTCTTCCTAGTTCCTTCAAAGGGACCAGATACTTGGAGAGAATGGAGTTCTGATGGAAAAAACCTAATAATCTACTGGAAGGTAAATATCTAATTTAAATAGCTTTATTATGCTCCCATGTGTAACTTGCATGATACTTTAGCTGTCAAGGGACCAAGACTTCCAAGATTGGCTAAGTTGGCAGCATTGCTGAGATCTAACCTGGCTCCTAAGACTCCCGGGCTCCTCATTCACTCCTAATTCACCAGGATCCTTGTATGGAGGATCCTCTGTCTCCGTTCTGAGCTATCTTGACTCTCATTTTATGAGGTCTGTGAAGAACCTAAGAATTTCTCCTTTGTTTTAGTCAGAAACTTATAGCCATAAACCATAGAGTCCCAAGTGTGGGTTACATTTTTGTTTTATGAGCAGTGGACCCCAAACAGTGCCATATAAATTTGTGCAGTTGTTTCAGAAGCAGTTTGAACAGTTGAAGTGAAGTTTGAAGTTCATTTCTTTTTTAAGTCAACTTTTGGGAATCCATGTTGAAGAATTAATGAAATATGAAAAATGAAAAAAATATGGTACAAAGACATTCAATAAAATGTTATTTTAGTATTGTGAAAAAGTGGGAACAACTTAAATTCCATTTGTTTAAGAAATATTCAGGTATTCTGGTGAAAATGCTACATGAAATATAAAGCCATTAAAATGTGTGTAATTATTAATATAGACAAGAAAAGTGAAGAGGCTTGTGACTGCTTATGTGAAAAAAGTATAAAATTGTGTAGTATGATTAGAATCATATTTAAGGGAACTTCTTTTCAATTCATATGGCAGACTTGAAATTAAGATAAGTTACACCATTTAATAACATCATCACAAGTCATGCTGGGGTCATTAATTTAAAAAATAACAATAAATAAAACTCTACACCTAGAAAAATACCTTAGAAGAGAGATTAAAATACAAGAGTATCCAAAAGGTGGGAATGTAGGAGATTTTTTTCTTTGCATTTTTTATGTATTTTCCAGTTTTCTGTAGTGAACATGTACTACTTTAAAATGAGAAAACAGTGCATAATACCACAATTTTTAATGTTTTGTATAGAGCAGTGCCTCTGACACTTTAAAATTTTCCTTCTGAAATTGTGAAGATAAATATAGTTTTGTATTTACTCAATTTTTAAATTTCTGGGTGCTTGTAATACTTAGAGTAGGGATGGATGGCTTTTGCTTCAGTATCACTTTTTCTGATATAGCCAGCTCTTAGTGGACTGGAAACCTGTTTCATGGTCGTGACCACTTTGTCTTTTCTAATGTGACTCTGTTATGTGATCACATCATCCACTTTAGACTTGACGACCTTGCCTCATTGCAGCTGCTTTTTGCAAGTATTTACTAACAATGTATTTTTCTGTTTTCTTAGCCTTTACCCATTAATGAAGCTAATGGAAAAATACTTTCCTATAATGTATCATGTTCATCAAATGAAGAAACACAATCCCTTTCTGAGATCCCTGATCCTCAACACAAAGCAGAAATACAACTTGATAAAAATGACTACATCATCAGTGTGGTGGCAAAAAATTCAGTTGGTTCATCTCCACCTTCTAAAATCGCTAGTATGGAAATCCCAAATGGTAAGTATTTAAGACAACTTGGTGTATAAGAACAGGAAAATAAAGTAAAAAATGTTTATGTTACTTGCTCCTATGTAATGTCAATAGTCTTCTCATATGCTTTGCTGCTGACATATCATATATCATGTATGGAGGAACAAGCAGATTAATATCTAATATTCATTGAGAGCAGTCATTAGTATTGACTTGAAGCATTGTACACTTATAAAATTATTACTGTTTCCACTTTATCACATAATGTTAAGAATTATGGTTATGGATAGTACTCTCATTAAGAAATAATTTTAACTTTTTACTCAAGTACTGTTTTCAAATCTCTCTCCAAGATGACAGGAGCCTATTCTGTCAGCCAGGCTGTTTTACAAACTATCAGGCAGAAGAAGGCAGAAGAAGAATATTCGTTTTAATTGGTAATTTTGTTGATAAGAAAGTCTTCCTAAAGTCTAAATTAGATCTTTAATACAGGCTTTGGGGAAAGACAAAAAAAAAAAAAAAAAACCAACAACAACTGTAGTGAAATTTAAAAATTATAAGTGTCTTCCTTTAAATTTTACTGTACTCCTCCTCAGCTTCTACCTGGACAGCTTTTTGAGTCACGGTTTTAAATTACCACTCCACCTCTTTTTCCAGTGAACCTCTTCCAACTGATTTTCTGTCCCCCTTCTGCTGTGCTGCCCCATGTGGGAGCACCTTTTTCTAGTACCCACTCCTAGAGGAAGGACAGCAGGGTCCAGTCAGGGATCGCTGTGGAGGCTGGCCCACTGCCCAGCCACTGTCCCTTTCCAATCTTCACCACACCAGCACATTCCTCCTCCCCACCCTGCTCCTGGTCAGCCAGAGTCCCCTCAGCTCAGCTCTGGGATCAAAGCTTCCTGGAAAGGAGGACGAGGGGCTTGGCCACCCATTCTTTTTCTGATGTGTCCATTCTGCATACTGTGCTGGGCCTGCTCTCTGGGGCTCACATTGCATTCAGAGAGGTTGATTAGAATGGGGGTTAAACTGCCCCCTGGTGTCCTTTACCAGCCTCCTGCCTCTCTTCCTCATCTTGAGTGGCCATGCCACTTCCCCTCCAGTGCTCATCCCCATCGCATTCCCTCAGCCCCCTTCTTCTGACTCTGGGTCTTCCAGCCCCAATACATCCCTGCTTAATCGTTGGTGCTTTTTAACCTTTTCCAGCTGCAATGCTAATCTTTGTGTACAGGTTAGTGCTGTAGATGTTAAATAAATAGAATGAAGCAGCACTTCTAATCTTTATGCGTAACATTTATCTAGTGTGAGCACTGTTTTGTAATCTTGTGTACACTGAAGTTTATTTTCATGAGGTGTGCTTTACAATATTGTTTTTAATGCCAGTAAAATATCATTCTTTGTTGAAGATGATCTCAAAGTAGAGCAGGCTGTTGGAATAGGAAAGAAGATTCTCCTCACCTGGCATCATGACCCCAATATGACTTGTGACTATGTTATTAAATGGTGTAACTCATCTCGGTCAGATCCCTGCCTTATGGACTGGAAAAAGATTCCTTCAAACAGCACTGAGACCATAATAGAATCTGGTAAGATGAATTAGTGTCTCTCAAAGTTCTTAAAAATATTTTTCAGAAGCAATACCAGGGCCAGTGCGGCCAGCATTTTCCTTTTACCAGTGGGCAGATGGGAACTGGTTTAGCTCTTCTGGAATGTGGTTTGTGGCAATATGGATGGATGTGAAAGGATTCTAACTCTGTGATCTAGTAATTACTTGTCTTGGAATTTATTCCAAGAAATAATTAGAGAACAACTCATTTGTATCTAACAATGTTCTCTACAACAGTATTTGTAATTATGAAAAATTGAAAACAACCCAAATAGCAGAAAGTGTCTTTGGAGGTTGGTCCCCCTGCCCAGCCTCCGTAGGACATCAAAGGGGACAGTTTAACCCCCCACTCAGTAAATATTGGTGACCACAGGCTTAACCTGCCTTATCCTTTGGAACTGGAGTCCCTTCCTCATGTTCACACCTGAGTGGCTGGTGAGCAGTGTGGTACTTTCCCCTGGGGGTATGGAGCAGGTAGCTTGTCACCAGTGATGCTCCCTGGCCATCCCCTCCCCTGGCTTTCCCTCGAATGCTGGCAGTGCACATGAGAGCAAGTGATATGCAGGTCACTTTTGTCCTGGGAGTGCATTCTGTGGCTTCAGTGTTCTCACTGTCAGGCTGTATGATTTTAGAGGTTGATCATCTCACTTTTGAGTCTATAGACCACTGGTGTTCTGTGAGCACATAATTAAAAAATTAATTTATTAAGTATGTTAGAATAATTGTGTCCCGAACATTGAATGCAATTCTTACTCTACCATTTCTCCCCAAGCATTATCTTCCCTAATGAGCCCTAATTGCTCCTCAAGGCTCTGTTCAAACATCACTTCAGTGGCTTTTTCTGATCCTAGACTCATTTGGTCCCTCACTTAAGGTCACACAGCATAGTATCTACAGTACAGAGCAACACACTTTATTATAGTTACCCTGTTCTGTGTCTTCCCACCACTGCCATCTTCTCCCACCAGGGACCTTGTTTTGTGCACTTTCATGCTGCTCACATTATGCACATTGCATTGGGATCCAGGCAGCATTTTAAATGTGATTTTAGGGTTGAAATCAAGATACCTCCCTTGTATGTGTGTGGAGTGAACTCACCTGGGGACACTTAACGACAGTGTTGCAAAGAGGAACAGGCCTGGTTCCGTTTAACACCAAAGCTTCAAGGTAGAGTGGAGCTCATAGATTCTGCTTCTTGGAGCACTGGTCTTCTTCAACCCAGAAATAACATCATGTAGGGAAAGGAGGGATTTATGGAAGGATGTGCACCTAGAGTGGGTTACTGACATGATCCTGGAATGAGTTTTAGGTTCTATGTTCTATATCTAAAATAGATACTCCTGGTAATTGTATGTGTGTATTTATGACACTTCACTAATCTGTTCATCCTATAGATCAGTTTCGACCTGGTATAAGATACAATTTTTTCCTGTATGGGTGCAGAAATCAAGGATATCAATTATTACGTTCTATAACTGGATACATAGAAGAATTGGGTAAGTTAAGTGGGTAAGGATTTTTTTTAGAGTTCAGGTAACATGAAAAATTACAACTCAGATGAGATTGAATTCCAAAAACAGATTGAATTAAGGTATTCAAGAAAGGAAAAATAATTCTTATGGTAAATTCAAAATTATTTATTTGGTTACTTATTTTTTAATGTTTATATTTCACAATTTTATTATTGTCATTGAGAAAATTAAATGTTAGCTTGGATGTCAAAAATATTTTATTTCCATTTATATAAGTTTAAAAACTGTTAACTGTTAACTTATTCCAGGACTATCAATGAAGAAGGAAAATAAAATTTAATTATATTTGAGTATTCACTTAAAGATTTTGTACAAGTTGTTTCCCTAGGTATGTGTTTTGTGCAGAAGTTGCATTGTAAGTTCTACCTTAGTTCCTATAAACCTAGTAGATAAATTTTGTGTTACTGTCACTGGAGGTTTATGGTTAAATGGAAAACACAGTTCTAATTCCAAGTTTAGCTGGTTTTGAGGCCAGAAATCTCATGAACTATTACTGTCTTACTCCATATTGCCAAACTTTCCTTCAGCAACTGACTTCGTTTGTTTTTTTAACAGCTCCAATTGTTGCACCAAATTTTACTGTTGAAGATACATCTGCAGATTCCATATTAGTAAAATGGGAAGATATTCCTGTGGAAGAGCTTAGAGGCTTTTTAAGAGGGTATTTATTTTACTTTGAAAAAGGAGAAAGAGACACGTCTAAGAGGGGCAGTGTGGAATCAGGTAAGTAAATCCCTAGCGTGACTGTAGTGTTTATCAGAAGTTGCCATTACCCACAAAGGAAAGAAAAGAAATGGGAAGAGAGAGCTACTTTGGTTTATCAAAACTGTCTGAAAAATAGGGAAATGAAAATGAAGTCATTTTATGGCTATGAGAGTGTCAAGACTTTAATATGCAAAAATGGCATATGTGGTCTTTTAGAAATCATTTAGGTCATTTACTCTGATGTCTATTAAAAGTCCCATAAGGACAGGGAGTTTATTATTAGCCTTGCATGATCCATAACATAGCATCTTATGAAACTTACTTAAGAGAAAAATCCAGGAATCCAGAGGCTTCAGAGCCCCACTGTAATCTGACAGGGAGCCATCAGCATGGTCAGCTTCATCCTTAGCCCAGCCATAATGTGCTAAGAAACTTAAAGTTGGTTTGAGTGGAGTTGTGAGTAGCCTTTCAGTTTTAAAAAGTACCATCAGTCCTGGTCAGTTGGCAAGTGTCCAGCAAGAGTTCTCAAATTTATAAGTACTAAAATGTTTGTACAGATTGCTGGCTTTTTCCTGAGCTGTATTTCTGTGGGGAGGCAGCCGTTTCTTATCTACCGATGCACAGTACAAGAGGATCATCTTCTCAGTCTGAGAGCTTTTACTTCCATTAGGACCTCTCCTCAGAAGGAAACCCTTTTAATTATTTAAAGCCTGTCTGACAAGTAGAGAACAGCAGTGCTGCCCCAGGATGCTGACTGGCCATTGTCAGAGTCATTTCCGAGAGCTGCTGCGGTAATGTGCGCCCTCCCAGGTTGCTGACTTCTGCGGTTCCTGACCCTTCAGGGTGGCCCATGGACAAGGAAACCCTAAATAGGAGATTCTACAAATATCCAGAGATGAATATAATTTTCCTAAAATGCTTAGAAATTTTATACTTGAACAAGTTGAAACTCTAGCATCTGGATTTCCAGGTAGACATGGTGGGTTGTCACTTGAGTTAGAGTATAAAAGAATAGAAGTCACAAAGCCAGAAGGAAAAAGAGAATGCAGATGACAACAGCCAAAAGGAGGTTTCAGAAATGTTGGGGTGGGCACAGGCAGATGACTTAGATGAGCAGAGGATGCTAAATCTAAATTTAAATTAGTGGGCCACTATCATGGAGAAGCAATGCACTTGACCCTGTAGGACCAGGTGTTGGAAGCAAATAGGACAAATCTGAGATGAATGGAAAGTTGATTGAAGGAAGTGTCCCATAACTGCAGGACTGTGCTTATACAAAAGTAAAAGGGTATAACAAGTACACAGGAAGATAGCTAGGAATAGATGTATGCCAAGGTATATTGTAGTGAACCTCAGGTGCCTAATGCAGTCCTAGAATCAATCAGAGAAAATTGGGTTCCTTATAAGGGACCAGGGCTAAGGCTTCAGAGTTCCCACACACAAATACAATGAGATTCCACAGTGGTGTCCTCAAAATATTGAGTGAAAATCATTTTCAATCATAGTTCTCTACTCTGCCAGACTTCGCACCAATATGGCAGTAGATTGGGGACATTTCTAGACATGAAATGCTGCAAGTGTGTACTTCCCCCATGCTACCTCACTCAGGAAACTGCTAAAAGAGTGTATTGCATTGGGAAGAGTGGGGAGTCCCAGGAAGCTGCAGAGGAGAGGAGGACAGGGAAGTCCTGTCTTTCAGTCTAGAGCAGGAGGCAGGGAGGTGGCAGGGGAGATGTGAAACTGGAATTTTGTTAGACCACGTAGAAAATTGTATTGAGTATTCATTGGCATACATGGGAAGAATTAGGAATTGGTACGCAGAAAATCAAACAAATTGAGGGGAGAAAGGCAGTGGTAACAGTAAGAAAACAGAAATGGAACATTGTACCAAACACTTTTTTATTTTTAGCAGTAACACATATTCGTGAGATCATAATAATATCAACATTGAATTCACCAAATGTTGCAGTTTCTGTATGAATGAAATGGTTGGGGAGATAGCAGTAGTTGAAAAGAGCTAAATCTTCATCTTTTTGGATGTGATATTGTCTAAAATTTAAAAGCTAGCAATCTAAGGTTATTTTAAAATATGAAGGTAAAAGAAACCCAAACATTTTGAAGTGGTTATAGGTGGTGAGGGAAGGGGTCAGTAGGGAACTGCCATATTTTGTTGTTAGCCATTTACTTTTTAATTTTTTAAACTATCATCTTGCATTATTTTGGATGCTGTTTTTAAAAATAGAATGTTTAAATAGTTATTCACCCTTCTTTTGAAATAATTCAAATACTTCCTCCTAGTTTCTTATTTTAAAATTCCCATAACAAGGATCTTTTTTCAAAGTGGTTTGAAGTCGTCTCTATTGATTTGCACTCCTGCCCTGTCCAGCCTCTGCCTCTGACTCACAGGCAGCATCAGCCCTGGTGGGTTTGGGTTGTGTGGTTTTCATAGTCTTAGTAATGGACAGGAAGTGACTTGTATTGATTGCCAGATGTACACCAGCCATTGTTCTAAAGGGTGTGTATGAAACTTTACACAGTCCTGTGAGCAAGTCGTGATGTTCTGTTTTCAGAGTCAAAAGACCCTCAAATTCAGAGTAGTTTGAACACAGTCCTGACTAGCAGAGGTGGAATTCGAATGTGGCTCGAGCTGGCTCCTGATCCTTGGCTGGGGGTAGCCAGCAGACAGATTCACTTAAAGAGTGACTGGTGTGACTGGCATGTATAATCATGTATTAAAGATTGTGTAGAGATGAGTTAGAATGCTCTTCATTTTAAAAACAGGTCGTTCCGACATAAAGGTTAAGAATATTACTGACATATCCCAGAAGACACTGAGAATTGCTGATCTTCAGGGTAAAACAAGTTATCATCTGGTGTTGCGAGCCTATACAGATGGTGGCATGGGCCCAGAGAAGAGCATGTTTGTGGTGACAAAGGAAAATTGTAAGTCAAATACTGACCTTGAAATGTCTTCCATCCTTCAGCTCATAGTGTTTCTAGCAATTTTTAGTCTGAAAAAATCCGTTTCTCTCCTTTTTAAAAAATAATTTTACATTTCATTGCATTTTTATACTAGGATAAAAGGTTATGGGATGACCCCTCATTTATTCCTGTCAGTTATTTGAAACTATTTCCAAATGGGTACCTAAGAAATTAATGAATTAGGGATACATCCAAAGTCTAAGAGTCCGAGTTCATATTGAATTTGTATAATTGTCAACCTGTTTAAATTTAACTGTCTGTAATGTTTAATATATCTAAGTGAAATAATATGCTTTAAAAATGTTTGTACATCATATACCATAGGCTTAGGCTCTACCTCTGAGAAGAGGATTAAAGTTCATGTTCAGCTCTTAAGTGAAGAGCTGTGGGGAGGTTGTGGTTCACCAAAGCAGTGCTTCTCAGCAGGGGGAGACTTTGCCCTGGAGGAGGTGTCTCCTAGTGTCTGTGAGGTTTCTGATTGAAGACTTGTGGTGGGAGGGGTGTGATAAAATTTCCTGCAGTACACAAGACAGTCCTCACCACACCCCCCTCCAACCACAGAAATACCTGGCCCCCATCTTAGTAGTGTCAAGGTTGAGAAGGTCTGTTCCAAAGAATTAAAAATTATAATAATACTTTGAAGATTTAAAGGTGATATTTTTAATAGTTTTTCAGAGTCCCTGGAGCCATTAAGTTTTTTTTTTTCTTTTCAAATAATTCTAACATAAGTATCTTCTAATCAAGTTTATTGTACACTTGATACTAAAATGGTGATTTTTATTGTTTGCAACATTCTCTTTCAGCTGTGGGATTGATTATTGCCATTCTCATCCCTGTGGCAGTGGCTGTCCTTGTTGGTGTAGTAACAAGCATCCTTTGCTATCGGAAACGAGAATGGTAATGGCACCTGCTTTTACTCTGTTTTCTTTTTAGGGGCTTGATTATTTAGTTTTGTATTACAAAATAAGTACATCTTTATAGTTGTATGAGTTAGTAGTAGTGTATATTTTGTTTAGTCAGATTTAATGTTGACTTTAATTAATAGGCAAGAACATGACATTCTATTTAAAAGTTTTAAAGTTAATAGAGTAAAAGTATAAATTTTCCCCTATTCTTACTTATAATTTAAGGTAATGGCAATTGTGCTAAAATAAATAAAAATATATATGTACATATATATGTACACACAAATATGTACATATATGTACACAAATATATATTCAGACATAAGTATTACAACAGGCATCTGCAGGATAAAATGTCATTTAATGATTAAGGTCTCACTTGTCCTGGTAACCTATTTAGAAAATCTGGTCATCGTGGTCCCTCACTCCTTTGTGCACCAGGCATGGCTCCCCTTCCATGTGAAGTGGGAGATAGTGATGAGCAAAACAGAACTGGTCCTTACAGAGCTCTCCCATAAAGAGGAAAAGGGACAGTGAGCCACAAATGTCCAGTGACCTTGTGCTTGCAAAGTGTGGGTGGGTACTAGGAAGGAGGGGAACAGGGAGCCACAGGGAGACTGCTCCCGGGAGAGTCTGGGAGGTTAAAAGAACATTCCAGACAAAGAGAATGGCTTCTACGAATCCTGAAATTGTGAGTGAACTGACAGAGACAAGAGATGAGGTGAGGTGGGGTGAGGTGGGCAGAGGCTCAGAGGAGATAGTGGCACATACTTGGTTAACTGGCAGGAGCTGTCCTGGGTGTGGGGCAGATGGCTGTAAGCTGCATTCGTGTAGAGAAAAGTCCTCACTTTCTAAAACAATTATCAGTTCTGATGAAGAAGAGAATGTATTGTAGCAATTCTGGCTTCTAAATCAAAATAATTATAGAACTGTAGCCCAATTTTGATAGCCATATTCTTGTTACCAAAAATCACATTTTAAAAATAGTTATTGTAATACTAAAAAATAAAAAAGAAACAAAGTAAGAAGGATGGTTAGAAGTTAGAACATTTCAGACTCACATTAATAGTTCTTTTTCTTGCAGGAATTTCAATAAAGTTCTTGTTAATTGCTTTAACTCTAAAAATCTAATATGACACTGCGCAAATCTCTCTCTCTTTTTTTTTCTTTTTTTGCATTCAGTTTTTACCCACAACTAATAGGCTTTCTCTTTCTTGGCATGACAGTTGACGTACTTGGGACATATGGTTTCACCTGCCTGCTGCTATTGTTAAGCACCATGGTAAAGCAGTAATGCAGCACCATAGTTGTGCCTGCATAGTCCTGTGGTGAGCAGGAGAGACCTGCCTGTGCAGACCTGTTCCCCAAGTGATCGATCCTGCTTAAGCCAGTTTGCAGTCTGAAAATTATGGTTGTACAGACAATGTCTGTATTTTACTTTGAATATAATGGCACAGTCACCATTTTAATAATTTGCTTTCCATTTTCATGATAAGATACTATAGTTCTAGGAATAAAATTATTATTTATACTTTTCAATTTGGAACCTGGTATAGAAAACTGTAGTGAATGATCACATGTTTTTATCTCAGGTTTTCATTAAAATATTGATATGAAATGTCAAAATAAGCCAAGCCAGGTGTGGCAGCACATGCTTGTAATCCCAGCTACTTGGGGGACTAATGCAAGAGGATCACAAGTTTGAGGCTGGCTTCAGCAACTTAGTGTGACCCTGTATCAAATATAAAATACAGAGCTGGAAATGAAGCTCAGTAGTAGAGCTCTTGCCTAGTGTATACAAAGCCCTGGGTTCATTTTCCAGCATCACAAAAAATAAATAAGCCTTATGACTTATTTGTTATATGATTCATACTTTTTAGTTATTAAATATATTTAATTATTCTTTATTTAAAGGATTAAAGAAACCTTCTACCCTGATATCCCAAACCCGGAAAATTGTAAAGCATTGCAATTTCAAAAGAGTGTCTGTGAGGTAATCTTTTATTTTCTTAAATTTGTCTTTGAAATATTGGCTTTCTTTCATCTTTTGTGAAAAGTTTGTAACCTGCAGATGTAAAAAGTATGGAGAAAATAGCATTTTTTAACGTGTGTTTCTAAAATTATTAGTCTTGGACTGTTTATACTGTGCCCTTTTTTTCCACTACTATTAATAGCAATGGGAAATACTAATGTGGACAAAACAGTGGCTTTGCTCTGTTTGCGTACTACAGAGTATCAGAGGCAATGTTTATAAGCAGATGTGAAAAAATAAATATGCCCTTTTTGTAGGAGAAGCATTGCAGTAGCATTTAGAGCTGTTCTTTTTTTTTTTTTAAGAGAGAGAGAGAATTTTTTTTAATATTTATTTTAGAGCTGTTCTTAATCACTGTTTGAAAATTTATTTCTAGGGAAGCAGTGCTCTTAAAACATTGGAAATGAATCCTTGTACTCCAAATAATGTTGAGGTTCTGGAGACTCGATCAACAGTTCCTAAAATAGAAGATACAGAAATAATTTCTCCAGTAGCCGAGCGTCCTGATGTTAGCTCTGATGTGGAACCTGAAAACCATGTGGTCGTGTCCTACTGTCCTCCCATCATCGAGGAGGAGCTGCCAAACCCGGCAGTGGACGAAGCTGGAGGGACCGTACAAGTCGTTTACATTGATGTTCAGTCCATGTACCAGCCTCAGGCCAAACCAGAGGAGGAACAAGACACTGACCCTGTGGTGGGCGCAGGCTATAAGCCCCAAATGCGCCTCCCCATTAACTCTGCTGCAGAGGCCACAGCTGTAGGAGATGGGGTGGATAAGACTGCAGGCTATCGGCCTCAGGCAAATGTAAACACGTGGAACTTAGTCTCCCCAGACTCCCCTCGATCCACAGACAGTAACAGTGAAATCGTCTCTTTTGGAAGTCCATGCTCCATCAACTCCCGACAATTTTTGATTCCCCCTAAAGATGAAGACTCTCCTAAATCTAATGGAGGGGGGTGGTCCTTTACAAACTTTTTTCAGAACAAACCAAATGATTAACAGTGTCACCCTGTCACTTCAGTCTGCCATCTCAATAAGCTCTTACTGCCTGCGTTGCCTCAGTAGCGCTGGGCGTTCTTGGAAGGACCTGTGAAGCATTGGAGCCAAGTGAACTTCACCACGTTCAGGTTGTACTAGGAGTGTGCATGTGCTTTTGATGCCGTCCAAAAGCCAAAGTACATGACTCGGAATCCTCAACCCACAACACTCAAGATTCAGAGCTATCGGTGTTTGAGCCAAAGAATTTCCCCTTCAAGAGGCATTTATTTCCAGGCAAATGCTATACGCAGAACAAATCCCACAGCACCTGTTTTCTGTTGTTAATGGTTTTCTTGTATGTATGCTTGTGGAATTACAAGGGAGATTTGCAGGCATGAGAGAAAAATGTCGTAGTCACATAATGTTTATTTGCCTGACATCTACTCCATTTTAGAGGACAACCAAGCACAGAATTTTAAACGTTTAAGATGATTCTCCTCTATCCACAGTATTTACAAAAGTTAATATAATTTTTAATGTAGCAACAGCTATTTAGTGTTCTGTTTGATAAAGAGTGCTGATTTCTGTGCCTACTGTATAATGGTTATCAAACAGTTGTCTCAGGGGTGCAAACTTAGAAAACAAGTGTGACACACTGACCAGCCTGAATCAGAATCACGTTTTCTTGCTTTGGTAGGTTTTTCAAACCTTTCCATTGTTTTTTAGCTTTTATGCTAGCTTCCGTTACTGCAGTTGGTTACCCTAATATTTGAAACTTAAATTTCTAGGCCTATAGATCCAAGTGGGTTTTTTTAAATCCATTTTATTTTGTGATACAGTGTCAGCTTTATATGAGTAAGTTAAATATTATTCATAAGCATATAATTCCAATGATTTACTATGTGAGATGACTACTAAGCAATATCTAGCGGCATTACTGGCCATGTAGCTCTGATTGGCTTTGGTTCCCCCTGAAAAGACCATGCCCTTGAGCCCAGTCATCAGGCAGTGGTATTCTTTGGCGCTTCCCAGCAGGTTTTCCTCCCCCTCATCTGTCAGATCTCCCCCCCCCCCATAAGCAGTTATCAGCCCAGACTATCAGATCTAGTCCTGAAGTGGTTAAGTTTAAAACTAAAATGAGAATGCTTCTTTCAGGAACAGTTAAGTCCATTTGAATCAGTGCATGTACCTACAGCACAGGTACAGCGGTTGCTTGGAGAACCTTGCAGAGGCGCATCTTGAGCTCAGGTGTGCTCTGTTCATCCTGGTTCCTCATCAGGGATGTTCTGGAGTGAGTGTGTTCCTAGCAAAGCAGAGTGCAAAATGAAAAAGCCCGTTGTGTTTTCCCTGCCCTTGGGTTGTCTATGTAATTTTGTCATTTGATAGTTAATGCGGAAGTACTTGAAGATTTGAAACATCTGATTTAGTTAAGATAGGCTTGTTTTGTATCATCTGAAGTTCTGCAATGTATACCCAAATAATGGAACAATCATTATTAGTTTTAGCTCTTATTGTATCTTTTTTAAAACCATGTTGTAGAGAAAGAACACAGGGTGACAAGGGACAAAATCTATTTAGGTACTCAGTTTATGAATCCTTCTTTTAACTGCTAGAATTAAATTAAATTCTGAGCTTCTTGATATGTGGAATGAAATATAATTATGCACATGCATAGTGTATTAAAACTATATAATAGCTCATATAAATTTTTAATAATGAAAAATATACCAAACCAGAGCCATCCCTAAAGAGTTTCCTCGTCTTCCTTTGTATCCTCTTTAGCTCCTTCCTGTAACTCCTGCCTCTTCCAAGCCCCTTCAGAGCTTGTCATCACCCTGCTCCATTTGCCCTCAACTCGTGCTGGGTCCCTATTGAAACTTGCCAAGTCCTGTGTTCCATCTCTGTAGGACAAGGACAAGGATTGGCTAAGGTGAAGGCTTGTCGGTCTCAAACACACTAACCTGAGAACACAAAAAGGTCAGGGGAGATGGGACCTGTCCTGAAGAGGTGTGCCTTCCATCTGCATCCTTTCTGACCTGTCTTGCCTCACTTGTGTGGCAGATGGCAAATATCATTAGGGCTCTTGAGTCCAGGACTTCACTGTATGAAGAAGGTTCAGAGTGCTGTTCGCCTCTCCCTGCCTCTGGAGTTCCATACCCTGGGATCCACAGGGTAAAGAGAAGCAGAGGAACGGAACGTGCTCACCGCCTGGGCAGGCTGCCTGTAGCTTGCTCTGAGCTTGGCAGTTTGTTACTGCCCATTCTTGCCACAACTCTGGTGTGGGAGGAGCCTCAGCACTGGGGCGGGGGTTGGGAAGAAGACACCTACTGTCACATATCCAGTGTTAGAGACACTGGTAAATCTGCACACACATATGTATTAAAACTATACAGTCAGTTCTGGGACCATGCGTGTGTGTGCAAGGTGCTCTAATAGTGGTCATGCTCTGTCCAGTCAGATTAGTTACTTCTCCCTTGGGGGGCAGATTAAGACCCAGTTAGGGGAAGGCTACATGTGGTTCTTCCAGCTCTTCCTAACTGGGGAAAAAGGTAGCAGGAAGGCCCTCTGTCCTAGCAAAAGCCCCATCATCTGTTAGAAAATTCTAAATATCTAAACTAAAATCATGTTCCATTACATCTGTGGACTAGAACTGTATATAGGACACATTGTCAGCTGTTTTATAAGCTAACTTCAAGCTTCCCTTGTGAGAGGTGGAGATTCTAGGGGTCATTATAACTCTTGTTTCTTTCATGAGTGGCCATTTGAAATAATATTTAATGTAAAAATATTCTTGGATACTAAACTAGGCCTTTGACATGGATAGACTATATGAGTGATATATTGCATGGAGTAGTTCACGTGTGCTGTCTAAGTCATTAGCTTGCTGCACCTGTACAGCCCTGGACCTGGGATCAGGGCCCCTGAATGTCTGCATAGTTGAGTTGTGTGTTTCTGGGCTGTGTGATAGAGATGCTTTGTTCCTGCAGCTGGAAACAGAAGCAGCCATTCATTGAAAAGTTTAAGGGAGGAAGTCTCAGCCTCATTTTCCACACCAGCATTACTTTCACGGCTCATGGATCTGAAGGATTGCATTTAGAACATGTAGTACTGTTGCCCTCGGAAACTGTAGCAAAAAGTCACATTCTCAAAACTTCATGCAAGTTGTATTCTTATCGGAAATCAGTCCTGCAATTTCTTAATCGCCTTCACACTGTCTGTATTTAAAGCTACAGTTCTTTCTGTAAGTTAATAATTAAGTGGAATTTAGCGAAGGAAACTAGAGACTTGTTTTCTTCCAAAGAGAATTGGAAATCAGTTTTATGGGTATTTTGAAATTAAAGTACCCTTTAACTTGTCATTATTCAAAAAGTGTTATCTCAAAAGTTTTTTACTGCTCAGGCACATATTCTGATAAAACCTTTTTGTTTGTTTACACTAAGATAATTTTTGCTGTTTTCCTGTTTTGGACTCTGTTAAAATTTGTATGCTTTTTATAACATGCCTTTTTAATTTCAGTTTTTAAAATTGGGCCTCTCAGGTGTAAAACATGGGAAGAATCATTAGCCACCAAGAATAGGCACACAGAAAAAATTCAGTGACTCACTTTTTGTTGACTGAGCCCCATCCCTGAGTGTTGCAAATTCAACAGAGTTCTGCTAGAGTGGTATATATCAGAATCAAGCTGTGTGAATCTAAAACTGTTGGCTCAAAGATTTAATCTACTGTAAAAGCACGAGCATACTTTGAAAACTTTAAAAGACTCATGCATACATGTCACTAGATAGCTTATTCATAATTTTAGCTCTTCAAGGTTTGTTTTTATTTAAAGGGTACAGAGTTTGGGACATGTTTGTACCAACTCAGCACGTGTCCTGGCCAGACAACACTGTACATGAGAGCTTAGATGATTAATATATGAACTCATTTTCTTGATAAAGTATTTTTTCAGAACATTTCTTTTAAACTAAGATTTTCTGCCAAAATAAAGTTTTATAGTATCACACATATCTGATCTTTTGTATCTTGCAGAAAATTTTTTTACAGAGGAAAATGACTTGTGGCCAAACTTTCAGGATACTTGTCTTTTAGGCATAGCTTAAATTCATTGGCAATCTCTTGGTTTGAATTTGGTTTATTTATATCTTCATGGATTATATGCCAGCCCTGTTAATAATATTTAAGCCTCCTGTTTTGCCAGGGTGGTTAGATTTTTATTTCTTTCCAGTAAGTTCTTTTGTCTTAACCATTACATGATTGTGTTCGTGCTAATTATTTTTAATGCCAGTACAGGTGATGAAGAACATTATTCAATTAATTGGCTTACATTTTCAGGGGGTATTGTATATGGTAGTTTCAAGGTATGTGATTTGGTCTAGAATATATCCACATGCATATAATTATGGTATCAGATTATGACAGGATTCTCTTACTTTTACCTATGAGTAGTATTTGTTTCTCCCTGAATTGGGGAATGTTAATATTTTGAATTATAAGTGTCCAAATTATGAACAGAATTTACCTAAGCCAGACAAATTCTCTGCTACATTTGTATAATTAAAAAAAAATGTTTTATGAGGAAACCCTCTGAATGTTTTTATGCATAAGTGTCTAGCTGAAAACCATGGAAACAGTAAATCGAAAAGCACTTATTTGTAAGTAAACCAACAACTGCTGGAACATTAATCTGATACAAAGCAGTAATAATCTATATTACTTGTGAGTTTCTGGACCTGAAGACCTTAAAAACCAAAAGATGTGAATGAGAAAACAAATGTCTAATTGATAAGGAAATTATTTTTATTCAATTTACATGTGTCTCCTAAGATGGTTTTCACAATAGCCAGTCAAACTTAAAAATAAACCAAAACTAACAACATAGATTTTTTTTTAATGCTACACTTAAGTCTAAAGTACTTTGTATATCTTATGGAATGGCTCACTTAAGTTTGCTGTGTTTCTTTATACATTTAAAATGTCCTTTTCTTTAGAGTTCTTCCCGTTTAAATGGATATCTTTCAACT